CTTTACGGAACACGTAAAACGTTCACCTGTTTTCTATCGCCGCTGCCCAGCCACCAGCTCCAGCAAATGAAAAATATATTGTTGTTTCTGTTGTTGCCGCCGTGGACGGTTTGTTGTTCTACTCACACTTGATATTGTTCCGAAGGATTCGATTACCTCTGAGAAGAGCACTTGTGTGAGCAGCTCAGTTCGATTGTTAAGTTTAATTCCACCGCTCTAATTGTGGCTGTCTTCGAATCACTGTTTTGGTTATTTAGTTAATAGAACAGCCGTTCGGTCACTTCTGCCAGTCGCCGTCTGGTCGGTTCGTTTGTCCGTCCGTCGATGCGATGTCTTCTAACCGTTACAGTGAGGTCTGATCCACGCGATCTGACGTGCCAACGTTACCACGATCAACTTCCTCTGCTAGCTAGAAAAAGTATAACGCTATAAAGGAACACTAAGAAAGCAAGCGTGTGCAAGTAAGGAGCTAGTCGCGCTCCACTCTGCTTGCTTCCTTTGCTAACAGCTCAATCGTTGCTTTGGCTGTCTCTTTGGCAGCAGCGGCGGCGTGGATGGCAGGCTACTTGGTTGGCCTGCTGGCGCTAAAGCTGTTTGGCCTGGTTACGGTGGCACTTGTTGAACCAACAGCGATGGTTCTCGCAGCAGCAGCAACGCTCTCAGGCCCTCGCGCTACCGCCGTCGACCGCCCGTTGGATAGTTCAGGTCGGCCCCAAATAGGAAAGGGAATACGATCATATACAGGCAGACACACACACGGACACACGATCAGACACGGGCAGGAGTGTGGATGCCTGTCACCGCCCAGAGTCTTTCTTAGAGGCTCCAACGTTGTCCTACGGACAACATCGCCGTTGCCGATGTGCCGTTGTCGACGACTACTATAGAAAGAACTAGTGGTGATGGCGATGCTAGTAGTGCTAGGTTCAAGAAAAGAACGCTTGCGTTGACAGAACGCTGTTCCTTTCACCATTTGGCGTTAATGAATATATACGCGGACTAACAATTGCCTACACCGACTACGAGGCAGGGTTAAGGTACGACCCAGGCAACTTAGGCCAGCAACACAGCAGCAGCGGCAGCACAGCTGGTGACGCCAGAGCGGCCCTCTCCGGCGACTGCTTTAACTGCGGCAAAGACAGGCACCTCCGAAATATTTTCCCTCCATTGGAAAATTGAATGTGCGCGTATCCGCTGGGCGGCGCTACCGTGGATCCCAATGGCTGGGGTGGCAGGTTTAGGCCCTTATAGACGTTCTCTAAGGGCAGCTCATCTCTTATGGAAGGGAAGCAGGCGGGAATAAAAGCAACGGGGCAGGGGTATTACGACGACAAGGAAGCATGTTCGAGGAGCTTCGGAGAAAGAAGGAAGGTTGCTAGCTGCTTTGACGACGGTACTCGTGGTGGTAGTAGAAGTAGTTTAGGGATTCCACAGGACAGAAAAAGAAAAGGATTCTGGGGGTCGAAAGGTGCCCTAACTGGCTGGCGCTGCTGATGGGGTCGTGGTTAAATGGAAAAATAAAATCTGTCACCCCCGATGCTGCTGCTACCCGATTTCAGTAGAGGAGAACTTGCTGTGTACGGTCCAAAAGTAGAGGACACGGCGGCGCCTGCCTAAGTACGTTTGCATAACGCCTGCGATACGCTGGACAAGTTCAGTGTCAGTTATATCTATTTGGAGAAATCTGACTGGAGAGAAAGGTTGCAGTGGATCAGTGTTGGCTAGATAACGAAAGGAGCGTGCGAAGAGAACGGAATGGAAATCGTTCTGAGGCATTCACGAAGGAGTTGTAGTTTGTGCGGTTAGGTAAGAAGCTTAAAGAAGTTAAAAGTTTTTATCTCAAACAGAAAATGAAGGTAGCATTCGATGTTCAAACTGGAATCAAGAAAACTTCGATAATAATCGTGATATTATTAAACTGAGAATTTAAGAATATCCTCCTCGATCACGTTTTCCTCGGAATGCTTTGCGGGATTAATACGAATGGTTCCTATCTTTGGGCCCTAAAGGGGATAGCAGTTGTATCATAGTTGGTTGCTACACGACAAACTTGGACGAAAGATCGATTTGTGTCTGACCCCTGTCAGATGGTTGCGTTAATTGCTTTGAATGGTGATTTTTATAAACGCCTGATTGTTTGATCCCAATGTAAACACAATATTAGCCAAACTACCTAAGTACCAATCAAAATGTCCATGTGGCCGCAAATTTGCTATAGAACCCGCCAGACAAATCATTTTTTACTCCTACACCTTCAAAGATTTACTGTGTTATTTTATCGCTAATGTCGTCAGAATAAGCTAATTATGCAGTAGAAATGTTCTATGCGCTAACGCAACCAAAGCCCTCTGCCAATTTCCTGCCGAGAGAGGTCACTGAGGTTTTGGAAAGAGTAATTCATGTACCTCTCTCTCCCAAGTAGGGCCTTTAATATCGTTCATAACAAAACACCAGTGAATAAAGGCAACGGCCTACTTCGGAATTATATAATGTCAAGTTGAGCATACAAACAACAAACAAAACACGGACTTCACTTGCTTATGGCTAATTAGACTTGTCGTACTTCTGTATCGCAATACGTCCTGACCGCCTAACACAAATAAAGGAACTTCTTTAAATTTATCGAAAGACCAAAATAAAAGTCAACATTGGCTGGCTCTGTTTCAAAAATAACTACTCTAAAAAAAATAGTCGCTCGTTAGTTTTAATTAACCTGTAATTAAGTAATCGCTTCTGTCTTGCTAGGTTGGCGCACTGTTATTACGAAGGTGGCATTTCTAATGAAATGTAACTAGAAAAAGGCTTTCGATGCTGTTGGAAGAGCAGATCGATTTAGCAAATCGAGCAAGCAAATCTTGCAAACGAAGTTTTACCTAGAGTTGTTTTTTGTTAATGTTCTGTTGAATCACCTTCAGCGCCTAGATCGCTACCATAATAACTTGAAACGAACCACTAAACACCTAATAAGGAAAGGAGGAGCATTCATATCAGCTGTGAAGGACGGATTATGCTGTCGCGAAACAGAAAAAGGCCTATACGCAGTTTAGCTAAGAAGCTTTGCTAAAGCTCTTTGTGCCTCAACTGGGAGATTGGAGTCCGAATTTATATTCGTGACGGTTTCTAATTGACCGTATTGCGATAGACGAAGGCACTATCTCGTAGCTACAGCAAAAGGGGTCGTTCCCCTACCTAGGTGATGTCAGGGGTAGAGCGATAGCACTACGACGAGTTCGTAGATGTTTATTGATAACTTGCACGATTTTATGGGACATTTATCGCTACTACCAACTTGACGCTTAGAATATGTTCTTTTATGGTAGCGGCAGAATCTTGATTTGTCTGGCGAATGTACCGCTATTCCATGCCAAATGGCTGGCGTAGAGATACGAAACTAGATTCAGACGATCATTTTAGAAATAAGTCGTTAGACTAACACTAGCGAACTCGTTTCAAACCAAATCGCTATCAAACGAGCCAACAAGAAGTGATAATCTAGTAGCCGACGCATCACGGAACCTCTACAACATATACATGTGCTATCAGAGAACGTTCGCTAGCGTTCGTATCAGTCCACTGAATAGACAATCTTTGTTTGTTTTCGTTAAAACTTGGTCTGTCCAACACTTGAGGCGTCCAGGACATCCCTTAGCTAAGGCAACACAAACAGTACCCTAGACCGCCGTTGGTTCGTACAAAATCACAAATTCTTTGTCTCTCTAAACTCATTAACGTAGATTGTCCGACCTAAACATCGTTCCTATTTCCTAAATGCCTCTTCATATTTTTCGGTCGAAACTTCGATCTGCAAACCCAAGTTACGTGTAAAAGGTGCCTAAAATTGTAATTCCCGTCGCGCTCTACGCAATGCGCAACTAATGAATATATGGGAAAAAAAAAAGAAAAAAAAAACTAGCCTCGGAGTGATTTAATATATTTTTGAAATCCGTTGATATGTTAGTATCAGTAAGTAGGAGTTTACGCTAGGCATCTTCTACAAGATAACGTGAAATATACATTTCTATCCTATATTCAGTATTGCTAATATTCGCTACCGTTTCTTTTTGATTGAGTTATGACGTTATTTTTGAAGGAAGAGAGTGCCAGATAAAAGAAATACGTCATTTCAAATTGTTGTGTTCTGAGACAGAAGTTTTACTATGTCGCACGGAAAACGTTACTCAGAAAGGATGGGCTTTGTTATCTTGTCGTAGCTTTTGCATGTTTTCCCAGCGACTCTTCAAGCTAGGCGTACAAATACGAGGCTTGAAGCTCACTTTCGGAGTTCATTCGCATCGTTAGCCTCCCCGCATGGCCCCCCCCGGAGGTGCATATTCTGCTGTATTACTCAGGTGAACAGATCTGATTGCTATGAGATATTTTACAAATATGGTCTTCTTATTACTTACAAAGAGAAAAATGAATGTTCTATAATAAAGATAATTCACAATAGCTATTATTAGGGATTACAGAATGCCTGAAAAGTTGTGAACATCTTTCTAGTTCCGTTCATCTAAGTGGCTATTCTGTAAATACATATTTATATAGCAGCCGACATTCAAAGAGATATAATAAAGAAATAGATCCGCAAGAAATTAGTCATGCGCCAAAACCTCAATGTTCCAAGAGATTTTCCCTATATTGCATAATGTGCCCCGAAATGTACATAGACATACATAGCGGCGGAGCTAAATTTTTATGATGGGGTGACGGAAATTAGTTAGCTCTAATATCGGGGACTGCAGGCGAAAGGCCAAAATAAGCCTAGATACCTCGAATCATTAGGGTCAGCGATTCATTTTTGAATATTTTGAAAGAAACATGGTAACATTTGGAACGCTACCCCGTTTAGCACTATCTAGGGTATCTAGATACGGACTTTCAAAAGGCACTTCGTACACACATCTTCGTTTGAGCGTCTACAGATGTTTTCAATAGTTATTTTGTTCATATGTATTCTATAGATTTCAACAACTGCTTTGCGCTACTTCGCTTAACAATAGGTGATCGGGTTCGAGTTCGAAGCTTGCTTTACTACGACCTCGTCAACGTTTTGCGAACCGCTATTCCCTGACGCCATAGTTAAGTTGGACCAGCCTGATTTTTTTGTGATCAGGCATCGGCAACCGACAACAGGACCGCATTAATCAAGCATCCGGATATTTCGGGCTACCGCTGCTGTAGCCGTTGCTACAATTAAATAACTCGATTCTCTCTCGACGGGATATTCTTTGCTTGTATGTGCTGAAAGTAAAGCCAATACTCATTGGGCCATATGTACGACTACCTCTTCCGCCAAAAATATTTTCATTATCAATAGAATGCAGGTGTGTCATACTGCGATCGTGTCCTACTCAACTATAGTTTAAGTGACAGTGATTTCCGCGATTAACTACGATGGTTTGCACAACTTACTAAATTAACTTCCTGTAAAATATATCCACAATTTCAGACGTGACGCAATACACGTACTACCGTAAGCATTTTGACGACTCACTTTAAATGTGTCCACATGTCTCCGTATTTTGTGAAACGCGAAGCTAGCGCTAATCAATAAAGTTTAATTGTACAAAAAACATGTTCTCTAATGTAATAATTGTAAAAATTAGTGTTCTGGTCAGCGCGCAATATGGCCATTCATTTCATAAAACACTGACACTCTTTGAACCTAACCTTGTAGGTCCACTTAGGCAATAACATTGTAATTCAGTCAAAGTCACAGAGAAGTTAAATACAGTGAGGCGTAATGGGCGAAGCATCCTATTGCATTAGACAGCCGTAGAACGACAACTATACATTTTGTTAGTTGTTATTATTATAAAGGTACGCCTGCTAGATACGAAACTTCATAGCGAAAACTATGATCCAACTATGATTCAACAACAACGACAACAGCTTGGGAGTTCTAAAGGCAAAATTTAATCGGATGAAACTCAGCGGACGTCGAGCTAGATAGGAGTACCTGCATGAAAGAAAGCAAAACATTAAAGTCAATACTACGCTTAATATAGCCGTAAATCCCAGCAATACTGGTGGTTAGTAGAAAAATTTGAGTGTAAGGAAACTGGGTTAAGGTGAATGGGGATTTTTTGCGGTGTCCTGAATCACGATTGTCTAAAAGTCTGCCAACTTTCCCAATCTCTGTTGTACTTGCGGAACAAGCTGTTTTGACTTTTCTCTGTTCGTGCACGTAATGATGTCGTGGTTCATATGTTTTTTTCCTAAGAAAACAGTGCAAGAACTTGAAGAAGTGGGACATCTAACATAACGATATCTAAGTAGACGTTTAGACGGCAGATGGGCAATGGACGGTGCTCTGTTCTTCGGAAGGTTTTCAAGAACGTGGTCGAACTCGGATGATGCTAGGATGGAACTATTAACAGGACACACTCTTCTATAATAAACTACCAAGGGGATTTTACTGTGTCGTGTGCTAAAGCTATTTTTCTAAATTAGATAGAATTAGAAACACATCGAACTATTGAGCTTGTGAGCGAACTTGCTCGACGTTGTTCGAAAAATGAAACACTTATTTTCGTCCTTATGAACAGGTGCCTTTATAAAGGTACATATTATCTTCGTTTCGATAGAATCAGCTTTGGTATAATCACGCTGCTGCGTGCCGTATGTGCCATCAATGACTTCAGCTTATCGGCGCGACAGCGTACGAAGGGCGTCTGTTTCGTCCGAGCCTGCAAAACACTGCTGAAGTCGATAAGAACAGCAAGGACCGAATACAGGCGAAAACGTGCTTTTTTGAAGAATTATAAAACGTTGTAGGGTTACTAATAATGCATGATGATTAGCAGAACGCAGCAAACAGCTATCAGAAGGTAAACAGGTTGCATGCACACGTATCCAATGTGTTTGATTTAAATATGTGTCACGAACCGATCAGAAATCAATTTCGTCTGCAAACTTCATCGAGAACATAGGGCTGAAAAAGACTGTCGACCTAATGAACTTCATTGCGCTCCATTTCGAAGTTTGCTAATAGAAATAAAAAAAAAAACAATTCATTCATTTACAGATCATCTGTGAATTACTGTGCCATTTTATAGGGACGGTTATACGTCTCCTGTTTTATATTAACATTTATTATTTGTCTATAAGGGAAACTTTGCCTGTCAGAACATTTTGTAATGAATTGATTAAATTTTCTTTTATGAGTCAAAGTGATTAAATTGATATTCTAAATTGAATGAGGTATTTTTCGATTGATTCAACATACGTTTAGAAAGCTGCTTGAGCTGATTGCTACGGAACCAAGGAACCAAAACAGGACAACCTTAGTTAGTGATAATGAACAGTATTCAATATTTCCCATAGTAGCACTGCAACCTGTAGTGAGTCGAGGTACTCTTTGGACTGTTTTCTTCCTGCATTTGATAAAAGAGATTTATTAGTTAGTTAGTTAAAAGGATCCAGTGTCTTGGAAATACTTAAAGTTACGACAGGTTTTGGGTTAGAGGCGTTGCATTGTATATACGATTTTCGGTTTTAATTTGTACGGGAAACTGGTACAGTTGATCCAAATTAAAAAAAAAAAAAAGAAAAAGCATCGTATGAAATTGGTCAATTTATAATGCGCCATATCAGAAATCGGAAACGCAACAGACTTCAAAACAGGCCGGATCTAAGTTCTATCCGCACAGAAATAACTGTGACAGTTGAAAACAAAGGAATACGGTTTTTACGTGAGTCGAAAAATTTTACCCGTACACCACTATGCACCATACAAAGCATGCATAGCTGAAATACTCCGATGTATTTGTGCAAGTAGAATATCTACCGTATAAAATCGTGTTCAGCTATATATGTTTACTAAATACATTGGAGTTTCATGGACGAGCACTGATAGTGCTTGTCAAGATACACAATCAGCCCAACATAGAGCATCACCCAGCTAATCTCACTTGTTCCGCTACCTATAACAGTTGCTAAAGCGTTATTCGATTTACTTTCTGTAGTACATACGTTGTTATTTCCTCGGAAGTTCTTGAAGACGTCCACGAACAAAATTGCAAGCAGTGGTACTTTTCCGCTGATAAGTACTCCAGAAAATGTAATGCTGGGGTGGTTAACTTACCAACTATCATCATGTCCTAACAGAGTGATTCCGTCTATTTTGATCCGCGCCAGTGCAGTAAACAAGCGAGGGAAGCTAGCCAAAAATAGTGAACATTTTCAAGTTAATTGACTCCAGGTACAGATCGAGGATAAACTTATCATATTCATTGCTCGAATAGTAAAGTTGTTCCTGAGCTGTTGGCCTTCAAAACTAGCATGAGAAATATAGTGGTTTTATTAGATTTCGAGCCTAGAATTTCAAGCAGATAGTTTACACGAGGTGTGTGTTCCGGTTATAAATCTCCAATAGCAAAAGGGAACGAAAGAAGCCCCTTATAGGTAATAATTTCCTGTAAATATATTCATACGAGTATTGTGCTGCATATTTTGCATTGCATGTAAAAAAAACACATATATATATATATATATATATATATATATATATATATATATATATATAATTTTAAACACGAATATATATATATATATATATGATTACTATCATTTTTATTATGAATGTTGTTTACATACTTTATGGCCTAGCTGCAAATAGAATACCTTCTGATTTCGTGTGCTTAGACTATCGTTGTCAGTAAGCAACTTCACAAAAAACAATTAATGACTGATGTTAGGGACGTTTCGTAGGCATACTGTAAATAGTCCAAGCTAAGCTTAGGTTTATCATGCAAAGGCGCAAGACCCAAACGACGCTAGAGTACCCAAAAAAGATAGATTTTCTCTAAATGTAAGCTACCACTTTATAGTTCAGAACAACCCTCTCGTCTATCTAGATCTAGTCGTGAAAAATTAAGTGCCGAGCTACAACTTAGAAACCTGCACTGTGATGTAAACTTCACATAGAGCAGGAACATAAAAGATAAGTTAAAAGCCTAAGCGATATTCGGAAGATTCAGACGTATATTCTACCTCCGCTTTGGTGCAGGCGTGTACATATGCCCCAAAGGAGTCATTAGAATCCTAATCGAATTCACTTCTTACAGACGCATAAATTATGATTATGAAATTAAATTACGAAATAAGCTAACTATTATAACTTCTAAATAGCTCTTGGGCGTCATTTAAACAATTTCTCAGACATATATATATATATAACATATGCATTATATAGAGGTAGATGATCATACGTACAAGGGAACCGCTAAGACTCTTGTTGTTTACGCTGTCCACTTCATGGGAACCTCTGTGAAATATGTAAATCGGTGTGTTTATCATTACGTTATTTTTTACACTGCGAAATATGACTTTTATGGATGACTGCATAGCTCCACGATACGTATATCCTTTATGTATGAAAACATAGTTACTATTCTTAACAAAACGAGACCTTGTATTTGCCCTCGGCAAATCTCATATCCCGTTTTTTTTTTATTACTGGGTGTACGTAAGAAGAGGGACAGGCCGGCGCCACCGGCGGTAACACGCATATCGGATTAGAAAGCAACAACATTCAGGGCTCAAACACAAAGCTTTATCGCTAGCTAGCTAGCTAGCAAAACAAACATCCGACCCGTGCAATGTATTCGCGTGGGGGTACATCACAATTCGTATTAAGTACTTTCAGACAGACCTTACTATTAGCAATACCCATAGATACTAAGATAGTGCGCCTAAGCGTTCGTCTTCAGAGAGAACGAGCATCTTATGTCTTACGTTCTTGTATCGGGGTAAAAATGACGGTAGCGTTTTTTGAGAATATTCAAAAGAAGAAGAGCCAGTGCTACAAGTAAACGTTCGTGAACGAGAGTCAGTCAAGCGTTGGAACAGTCAGACGCTAAACGAGAATGAAAATTACTCTCTGTTAGCTTTTGTTTTCCCCGTCACTACGTTGCCGCTGCTGCTACCCCCCAGAGCCATGGCCATTGCCAGCTCCATGACTATCAGTATCGCTGCCTCATTTTGGCCCCTTACAACGACAAGCGTCACTGCCACTCGGTAGTTACGGAAAGCACGAATCGCCATCCGGCTTTTGAATTGTCTTGCCAAACTTACTAAATCAAGGCATAGGCCAAGGTTTCTGCCGGCAAAGAGTCAACGAGTGACCTTCTACTGAAAATTTGGCTACGAACGACTGACAGCAAGCCTGCAGCACCAGAACGCTTATGGAAACAGATAAAAGGGTCCGACTGCCAAGATCTTTTACAAGATCATCGCGATGCTTCCGAAGCCGGCTGCCAGTCTATCTAGGCGTGCTCGCATCGTCGGCTGCTGCATACGTTGCCGCTATTTACTGCCAGTATTATCCAACCCTGTCAGGATATGGAGAGAGTCCTAGCACTTCAAGCCCTATCCTTTCGCCCGAAACCTAATCTCTCATACGTAAGACCGATCCACCAATACGTCCGACAACAGCGTTTTCCCAATAACAAACTTAGTTCGCGTTGGTGACGTCATTGCTGACGTCTTCGAGCGGTCCTTATCCGCTGCTAG